CCCATGTTCTTGCTGTTTTATCATATGACTGTTGTCTATTATGTCGTTGTTTTGTGAGTCGAGTTCAGAATACCGACACGTTGAAATATTATATAAAATGATCTGCCGTCATGACTATTTTTGTGTCAAATAAATATATTTGAATTGTTGAAAGTGTCTCCCCATCTTATAATTCTCCATATTAATAAAACATGACGTATGCAAATTGTGACAGGCATATGCAGTGGCCTTTACAATCTGGTCCATCAACATTGTTGTTTCCGATAGGAACATTGTCCTTTTTGTATTAAAGGACTGACTGACTGAGTATTGTTTTACGCCGCTTTTAGCAATATTCCAGCAATATCACGGCGGGGGACACCAGAAATGGGCTTCATGTATTAAAGGAGCAATGTGTTGAAACAACACCTTGAAAGAAGAAAAGCCTTACTTAAGTAATTATTGCTTTTTACTCGTTCCAATAAGAAACCATTAACAGTTTGAAGGAACATTTTCATGCTTTGTCCACGTAGCAGTAATGGAACAATCTTATGTTATCACTCAAGTAACTTATGTTTCCTCTGAGAACTTGTGTTTGTAGTAGATGTGAACGCATTATCAAACGAACTGCCTTAGATTTGGCTCAAATCGATTCCTTTTGTCCAACGAAAGTGATACTGTACAGCTGATGTAAATAACCGAAAGAAAGGTCACCACTAATTTATTTTTTTTTTACCAAGGTTGATTCTCAACACCGTTTAAGTAAATGATATTTTGCTCAAGGTGTAAAATCATGAACAAAATACACATCATCTTTTTTCCTGTCCACATTCTAATAAGCCAATCACCGATTTCAGCAAACTAGATATTTCTTCCACTAAATTATTTTGACATGACATTAAAACTCATTGTTATGAGATCATTCCCAACTGTTTCACAAATGCATATTTTCAATTATGTTGACATTGTACTAAAGCGAAAAAGTCTAACTATATCAGTAAAGTATTCTGGTTTATTGAAAGAAAGACTCCATAGCCCATGTTCACGCTAACGAGCTTATTGATAGATATTCAAAGAGAAATTGTCTGCTCATGAAAGTATTGCCCTGTAACAGGTTTTCGTAGAGACGTATCTTTTCATTCATACGCTGTGTCTACAATCTGATTTTAAAATAGAGTTTGAATACAGAATCGTCAATTGCTCCTACTTTGTTGTTACACGCGCGGGTGTGTGTTATCACTATGGACCTCTTTGAACTCTGCCGCCGTGAATCTGATTGGCTGGCGGTAAAGTTGCTTTGATCAGGCTTGTAAATACGTGTATATATATCAGTTGTATAGCTTTGGTTGACATTAAATTTTCGTTTTCAATACAGGAACGTTCATAGCTAATTATACACTTGATAACATGGAATCCGCACTCGCAAATCTCCCCTCTTCAAGACGCGGCACCAAGAAGGTCCTGAGGTGGTTAGAGAACCAAGTGACTACTGACTCCTGCGACTGCTGCCATAAGATGAACGTTGGATTCCGTCTCAACAACTCCTTCACAGTGTTGAAGCACGAACGATCTCCCGTCAAGCCAGCCGACCAGAACCCACGTTTCCAGAAAGACAGCGTAGCCAGGAAGATGGTTCGTCGGATCTCCCGAGTCTTCAAGTCCAAAAACAGAGTCCAACCCACCCAGACCAACCCCAGTGTTCAGACACCTGCAGTCGTGTATGTGTCCTCTGCTCGTGAAATGAACACCAACATGAAGAATGGATACGTGTGTACGCTGTGCTGAGTCTGCCATGAACTATGTATGTCTGTTGTTACTGTCCAAGAAACGGTAGTTGCTGACCCTAGTGCTAATTCATCTGTGGGATGAGTGAAAAGTTTCTGGACATCTTCTTGCTGTTTTATCATATGACTGTTGTCTATTATGTCGTTGTTTTGTGAGTCGAGTTCAGAATACCGACACGTTGAAATATTATATAAAATGATCTGCCGTCATGACTATTTTTGTGTCAAATAAATATATTTGAATTGTTGAAAGTGTCTCCCCATCTTATAATTCTCCATATTAATAAAACATGACGTATGCAAATTGTGACAGGCATATGCAGTGGCCTTTACAATCTGGTCCATCAACATTGTTGTTTCCGATAGGAACATTTTCCTTTTTGTATTAAAGGACTGACTGACTGAGTATTGTTTAACGCCGCTTTTAGCAATATTCCAGCAATAACACGGCGGGGGACACCAGAAATGGGCTTCATGTATTAAAGGAGCAATGTGTTGAAACAACACCTTGAAAGAAGAAAAGCCTTACTTAAGTAATTATTGCTTTTTACCCGTTCCAATAAGAAACCATTAACAGTTTGAAGGAACATTTTCATGCTTTGTCCACGTAGCAGTAATGGAACAATCTTATGTTATCACTCAAGTAACTTATGTTTCCTCTGAGAACTTGTGTTTGTAGTAGATGTGAACGCATTATCAAACGATATATTTAGTCTGATCAAGAAAGTATTGCCTAATAAAAGGTTTTTGTGGAGACCTTTCCATTCACAAGGTGTGTCCACAATCGTTTATTTTAAATACGTAATCATTAATTGCTGCTACTTCGGCCGGTTTTTCATAAATCAAAACTAATAATTATAATGTCTGTTTTGTTTTGTAGATACGTCGTAGTTGCCAAATGGAGTCGATTCAAATAGAAAAATCAAAATGAGAATTATTATTATTTCACACCAACTGTCATATGATCATCAGTCTCAGTCGTGAGAACTCTTTTCACCCGATTATTTGCATGTGTAACGAGAATGATTTCATATATTTCTTAATCCATGTGACCTGTTATCTTCATCGACCTCTGCTGTTTGTTTGTTTGTTTGTTTGCGCTGTGTATTACGTTGATCACATTGACATAATCACCGACTGGCTTCCAGGATAATTCTTCCCATATCTTTCAGAATAACAACGTTTAAAACAATAGGATTTCCAACAACATTCTGACCAAACGTCTAACGTCATTACAATCACACATGCATTGTTATCCAATCACCCAACTTCAAAACATCAAATCACCGCCAACTAAAGACTCAACCCGTGTTGTGTAAACAATGATGACTGAATTGGCGGGTCGTTTGATGTCCACTGAGAGCTGTGATTGTTAATAAGTTGGCTTCAACGCAATGAGGTTGACGCACCGCCATTTAGTCTCTGAGACCGTTGTTTTCATAGCCGTGAGACGTGTATATATTCTCAGGGTGAACTCTGTTCATTCATTCAGATTGTTCTGATCAACAGCTCACTGGTATCTCTCAACAACAATCGTATTTTTCGACTTAATTATGAGTACAATGACCCGCATATTGGTCCATGATATTCCTTCTTCTACGAAGGTACTCAACTGGCTGGAGGATAATCTACCCTCAAATCCTGACTGTCATTGCTGCCGGAAGAGGAAGGTGGCTGCAACTCTCAACACCACCTCCACTGTCCGCACCAAGGATCTACATGATCGTCTGGCGCTGCTCAATAAGAGGCGTCGTCCACTGAAGAAGCGGGATGAGGAGCTTGTGGAGAAGAACCGGCAACTCAGACAACGAGCCCAGGCGATTCGCAACGCCCCGATGTCGCCCGTCGCCACTAACCCCAACACCATCATTCGCTCCAAGATCCTACAAGACCGCCTGGACCGCATCCAGAAGAAGATGACCTCCGTGAAGAAGAGAGACGCGGAGATCCAGGAGAAGAACCGACAACTTAGAGAGAAGCTCCAGGACGTCCTCAACATCTCCATGACGTCATTGGACATCTGCCACGAGGAATCTCCCGCCAAGCGACCACGTCTAGACACAACGTTCCAGAGAAACAGTGTTATCAGGAAGATAGTACGCAGAGCTCCCCGATTCCTGAGCTCCAGAGTTCCTTCTCTGACCTTCAACACGTCTGCTGCTGTGTCGCCTGCTGCTCTTTCTGTGTCGTCTGCTCACGAACTGAAGACATATCTTAAGGATGGGCGACAGTGTACATTCTGTTGATCTTGGACGTTAATATTTTTACTATAGTGCATAATGTATTATTGTTTTTATATTTCATATGTTGTTTCTATGACAAGAATTGTGCTGTACATATTAGTTGTATATAAATATACATGTACACAATCATTACAAATAAATTTATGAAATGGACTGAATACTTGTTTTAAACAGTGGCACACTGAACAGATCGGTGGGGGAGAAAAGCACGACACAGGGGAGGACACGATCATGCGATAATGTTGTAAGTCACACTTAACTTATTTTCGGTGTTTTTTTGTGGTTTCATACTGCAATCAGCAATATTCCAGCTACATGACGGCGGCCCGTAAATATTTGAGACAATCCTGTGACTGACAATGTGAACATCGACCCAGGCCGTTAGGGTACGAGGACACGGAAGTCAGCGAGCCTGACCACCCGATACTCTTACGACAAGTATACAGGTTGTAGGGGACCGAAATACCCGAGAGGAGGTGCACATGTAGTGTTCTCTGGTCACTCATTGTCATGTCAGTCACTGGAAAACAACCTTGATCTTCATCCAGATTATATGCCACAGAATAAAGGCTGGAAGACCCAAAGACACGTGACCCAAATACGTCACAGGGAAATTCCCTCTCGGCATGGAACACTGACTGAGTATGGTTTTACGCCGCTTTTAGCAATATTCCAGCAATATCACGGCGGGGGACACCAGAAATGGGCTTCACACATTGTACCCATGTCGGGAATCGAACCCGGGTCTTCGGCGTGACGAGCGAACGCTTTAACCACTGGGCTACCCGACCGCCCCCGGCATGGAACAAGTGTTGTCACTGCCATTTATGACCTATGCGTTGACAAACACAGTGCCGCTAAAATGAACGTTACGGAGTCTCGTTTTAGGATTAAACAACGATTGGAATTAACGGTTGATGACCATCTTTAATAACTGCACCTGCTTTGTGACCAGAGGGTCACTGACTTATCATCGAAATAAAAAAACCATTTATACAAAGGTAACACTAATATTTATTCAAAACATTAAAGTATATAAAAAAATAAAGTAATTGACCTTGTAAAGTAATTGATGTGACTCTTGTGACAGCCTTTGAACGTTGGAACATTGGAACGATTCAAATAGAGCATCACTGTGAAGACGTTCTATAAAGAGCTTTGTAGCTTCCTCTTCATCAGCACGTGAGTGAGGAACCACTCATTCCCGCCCTTATATCCGAATACTTCTAAACAGAACATGTAGAACAATCGCCAGTTGAACAGTTGCTGTTCTGCATCCTCGCCGTATGATTGGCGGAGAATGTGCATGACGCGCTCCTTATTCCCGTCTGTCCGTTGAAGCCACGCCTCCAGGGTCTTGGCGTAATGCGTTCCATTGACCACCCACTGGTTGACTATTGTGACGTCATTCTGCAGACAGGAAGTCAGTGAGAGAGTTCGTGAGTAAAGGTACAATGTAGTCATATAAAAATACATGTATCTAAAACCGCCTTGAGCAAACATGATTGTCACAGAATTTGTTTATTGACCTGAAATCGGAGTAACCAGTAGAAGTTCACTTGTTGTATGCAGCGGAAGTAGTTCAAAATTAACATGCCGTTTTCAGTTTCAACAAAATCAGTAAACGCGCTTTTATGTCACGGGATTGTCTGGTCAAAACTTGATTGTTTACAGGTAGTGAGTGAGTGAGTTGGGTTTAGCGCCGCTTTTAACAGTATTCCAGTTATATCACGGCGTGCCAGCTTAATGTGGGAGGAAGGCCCGATGTGATGCAGGTATCAGACGTTTACCACTTCGGTGAAACCCACGAGCACGGGTATGGTGCTGACAAACCTAGAAACATAATCGGGGCGAACCGGGATTGGAACCCACAATCATAGGTTTCTGGCGTGCCCAAGGGACGCAACTCTGCACAGCGAATCGCGGCGCCTTGGACGACTGGGCCACCCATGCCCCCTGTTTACAGGGAACCGCCGTATGGCAAGAGTAATGCTGATCGGTGTTGGGCAACAGACAAGCACTTAATCAAATTGTGTGAGTGGCGGGTGCTGAGGGTAGAGCAGGTAATGCTTACCCTTTTTGCAAGCATTTGTTTCATCGCCAGTTTCAGTGACCCACTTATAAATCTTTTATCACCATTATGCCTCAAACGCCCTGTGGAATCGGTTTCGGCAGATTATCGAAACGGGTATTCTTGGGCTTTGACGTATTATTTTAAAAAATATAATAAAACCTATGCTTCGATCGCGCGTGCAAAAATTCACGAACTATATAATCCATACTTAAGTACTACTCAAGAAACTATGGTTATACGTCTGTACCATGCGAGGCAGGACAGCAGGGAACATCATCCTTCAAGTCGCCAATGGAGCTATTGCATAAGGCATTCAAAGAATATATTTCTAACGGTTTACTGAAGCCAACCGTGCCTACCAAAATACGTGATTAACTGTCGATCAATGATAGTCCCATCCTCGATAGCCCAGTGTATTACATATCACCCCTATCGAGAAACACACCCTGGACTCATTCGCAACCACCGTTTGGAGATCGATTCCAATGTCACAACGCTCATGTTTGCCTTCCAATCAAATTACACTCACGAAAGAAAGAAATGCTGCGCGAATTAGTGATAAAACAGATGGAGATGCTAAATAGGTCACTTCTGAAACGATTATGTGATGTCCTGGGTATTGATCTTAGTTAAATGGAGATAAAATACACCAGTCTGGATAATCGAGCATGTGATCGTACGACATTGAGGCCACATTGAGCATTCTGGCAGGCTAATAATGCATAAGACGCTTCACTGAGGCTACAAGGCGGAGTTTACAACGCAAATGCTCAAACCGATAGGCCACCACTTTATCCTGTAACTGTGCAACCTCATTTTCGCTACCGATTTCTCACCTGGAAGTAGAGGAACAGGTCACGTGACGGCATGGTGCCACCCGAGAAGAAGTTCTTGGCCATCCACTCTGTGTCCGACCCGGGGGTGGTGTCGAAGGCGTAGGGGTGCTCCCTGTGACAGAAGACTTGGACAAACAGGTAACCCGAGGGTTTCAGCCACGACGACACGCGTTGGAAGAGAACCCCGTAGTTCTTCATGTGCTGGAAGAATTAAGGGAGTCAGTGAGTCATTATTCCTCGTCATTACCAACGCCTATAGATAGGCTCGAGCTGTATGCCACGTTATGAAACACAAATATAAATGCGCCTACAGGTTTAATTCCAGGTCATGAAACACATACGACACAGCACCAAGAGACTTACAGTCGCGTGATGAAACACGATTCCAGTGCGCCTAGAGACCTAATTCCAGGTCATGAAACACACACGATACAGCGCCCAGAGATTACTGTCGCGTGATGAAACATGATTTCAGTGCGCCTAGAGAACCAATTCCAGGTCATGAAACACACACGATACAGCGCCCAGAGATTACTGTCGCGTGATGAAACATGATTTCAGTGCGCCTAGAGACCTAATTCCAGGTCATGAAACACACACGATACAGCGCCCAGAGATTACTGTCGCGTGATGAAACACGATTCCAGTGCGCCTAGAGACCTAATTCCAGGTCATGAAACACACACGATACAGCGCCCAGAGATTACTGTCGCGTGATGAAACATGATTTCAGTGCGCCTAGAGACCCAATTCCAGGTCATGAAACACACACGATACAGCGCCCAGAGATTACTGTCGCGTGATGAAACATGATTTCAGTGCGCCTAGAGACCCAATTCCAGGTCATGAAACACACACGATACAGCGCCCAGAGATTACTGTCGCGTGATGAAACACGATTTCAGTGCGCCTAGAGACCAAGTCATGAAACACACACACAGCACCTCATTCTATGTTATGAAACACCCTGAGACATTATTCCATGTCACGAAACACATTTCGTAGCGACCGATACATTATTCTGTGTCAGGAAACACATAACAAACACGCCCATACACTTTATTCTTACCTCGAACATCTCTATGGAAACAATCCTGTCGTATTTCTTGGAGGTCAGGAATTCATTGGCGTCTGCTGTGATGACCTCCAGTCTGTCGCGGTACCCCCTCTGTTCCGCACGTGCAGTGATCAGCGCCCTCTGGGTGTTCGAGTTGGACACACACGTGACTCTGCAGCGAGGGAACTTCTCGCACACGTACAGGCCGAAGGACCCCCATCCACATCCTAAGTCCTGGATTAAGAAAGTGGGTTCGTTGTGCACCTGTTGTGATATTGTTGGAGTGTGTTGAGTTTAATACCGCTTTGAACAGTTTTCCAGTTATCTCACGGCGTGTCAGCTTGCTGCGGGGGGAAAGCCCGAAGTGATGCAGGTATCCGCGTTTACCCCATAGGTGAATCGGGAAAACGGGTATAATGTCAACAAACCAAGCATCATAATCATGGTGAATCTTGGCGTCGAATTCACAATCATAGGATTCTGTCACGCATCAGGGAAGGGACGTAACTCTGTCAGATGAATACTTGCGCCTAATACGACTTGGCAACCTGTGTCCTAGCAACAGTACTGGCACTATTTGACACTCACTTAACTCATTGTTCCCGCCCGATTCCATCAAGTGAGGAGAAATAAAAGAATTCACATGGAGGCAGTGGATTGAGGCAGTGGATTGCGGCGGTGGATCTTGGTAGACAAGTACTGTTATTTCATCACACTCACATTGAACTGATCCTGTTACTCCGCGACAGAGGAAATATGTGTAACGCCATTTTACATCCTTAGTTATGTGAAAGAACAACTGATGTCTCACCATGACTGTGTGTCCATCTTCAATCTTCGCTCGCTCACAGTACAAACCCAAGGAAGCTTCCTCAGCTGAAAAAGACGTTGACATGCATTACATGGGATAAAAGACAACTTCATAAGCCTTTTTCGGCAGTTGAGGTGAGGAGAAATAGGGTTTGATGTACCTATAAGAATATTGCCCTTACATAGCGCCATGCGAACGAGCATTCGTTCCTGATTGTACTAGTCTTGACTCATGCCGGTTTTATAGCACATGCTAGCTCACTCAGATACCATGCTGCAGTTGTATCCCCTTAAAGCTGATCGCCAGGCAAGGAAACAACAAGTATTTAACGTATTTTGGTATGACGCTGCCAGGGGATCGAACCATCGAACTCCCTCTCTACGGACAGACGCTCTACCCACGAGAGCACGGAGGCGGTCCACTGACTATAGTGAGATCGGAGTGAGTCAACACTGATTAATCTTAGGATAATTTATTTTTCTGATAACTAAAGGTTACACCAGACATTCTGTCAACATATTTGCACAGTATGCATAGCGAAAGTTTCATAGAGCTATTTCTAATGTTTAAATTACATGCTTTTATGAAAGTGTTATTCCCCTTGTTATATTGCTGAGATATTGCTGATGCAACGTTAACTTTAACTCACTATCGCATGGCTGGCCAAGGGGAGCTAACTCCTAAACGTTGATTATCTCCATTGTATTTAGTTTGTTTGTTTGTTGTTTAACGCCGCACTCAGCAATATTCCAGCTATATGACGACGGTCTGTATGTAATCAAGTCTGGACCAGACAATCCAGTGATTGACATCATGAGCATCGATCCACGCAATTGGGATACGATGACATGCATCAACCAAGTCAGCGAGTCTGACCACCCGATCCCGTTAGTCGCCTCTTACGACAAGCATAGTCGCCTTTAACGGCAACCATGGGCTTCTGAAGACCTATTCTACCCCGGATCCTGACGGGTACCATTTTATATTGACCACCTTGTACACACCACAACAGTATATATCCACCTTGTACACACCACAACAGTATACATCCACCTTGTACACACCACAACAGTATATATCCACCTTGTACACGCCACAATAGTATATATCCACCTTGTACACGCCACAATATTATATATCCACCTTGTACACATCACAATAGCTTATATCAACCTTGTACACACCACAACAGTACATATCCACCTTGTACACACCACAACAGTATATATCCACCTTGTACACACCACAACAGTATACATCCACCTTGTACACACCACAATAGCTTATATCCACCTTGTACACACCACAACAGTATATATCCACCTTGTACACACCACAATATTATATATCCACCTTGTACACACCACAATTACCAATATCCACCTTGTACACACCACAACAGTATATATCCACCTTGTACACACCACAATATTATATATCCACCTTGTACACACCACAATAGTATATATCCACCTTGTACACACCACAACAGTATATATCCACCTTGTACACACCACAACAGTATACATCCACCTTGTACACACCACAACAGTATATATCCACCTTGTACACGCCACAATAGTATATATCCACCTTGTACACGCCACAATATTATATATCCACCTTGTACACATCACAATATTATATATCCACCTTGTACACACCACAACAGTATATATCCACCTTGTACACACCACAATAGTATATATCCACCTTGTACACACCACAATAGTATATTTCCACCTTGTACACTCCACAACAGTATATATCCACCTTGTACACACCACAATATTATATATCCACCTTGTACACACGACAACAGTATATATCCACCTTGTACACTCCACAATATTATATATCCACCGTGTACCCACCACAATAGTATATATCCACCTTGTACACACCACAACAGTATATATCCACCTTGTACGCACCACACTAGTTTATATCCACCTTGTACACGCCACAATAGTATATATCCACCTTGTACACACCACAACAGTATATATCCACCTTGTACACACCACAATAGTTATATACACCTTGTACACACCACAACAGTATATATCCACCTTGTACACACCACAATAGTTAATATCCACCTTGTACACACCACAACAGTATATATCCACCTTGTACACGCCACAATATTATATATCCACCTTGTACACACCACAATAGTATATATCCACCTTGTACACACCACAACAGTATATATCCACCTTGTACGCACCACACTAGTTTATATCCACCTTGTACACGCCACAATATTATATATCCACCTTGTACATGCCACAATAGTATATATCCACCTTGTACACACCACAACAGTATATATCCACCTTGTACACACCACAATAGTTAATATCCACCTTGTACACACCACAATAGTATATATCCACCTTGTACGCACCACACTAGTTTATATCCAACTTGTACACATCACAATAGTATATATCCACCTTGTACACATCACAATAGTTTATATCCACCTTGTACACACCACAACAGTATATATCCACCTTGTACACACCACAATAGCTTATATCCACCTTGTACACACTACAATAGTTTATATCCACCTTGTACACACCTCAATAGTATATATCCACCTTGTACACACCACAATATTATATATCCACCTTGGACACACCACAATAGTATTTTCTTCTGGGCAACAATGTACTCAGCCCAACAAATATAATTTGACCTATTTTTAAAGGCCCATCCCTTTAAATCAAATTCATCCGTACTTACCCTGGTCAAGCGTAGAGACGCCCTCCGGCCAATAGCACCCGCTATACTTCAGCCGTGACCCCAAAGACTGGACACAATAACAGAGACATACATAATTTTCTGACATATGTTTCTAGCGGTTACATTGATTACGGAAAGCAACTGAACTAAAGGCCTACATCTATTTGTTTGTTTGTTGCTAAACGCCGCACTCAGCAATAGTCCGTCGACATGACGGCGGCTTATAAATATTCTCGTCTTGACCAGTCAAACCAGTGATTGACATTATGAGCAACGACCGCCGTCGGGATACAAGGGCACGCAGTCAGCCAAGTCAACCAGCCTCACGACCCGATCCATACAGTCGGCTTGTAGGACAATAGGTTGATGGGGACATATTCTAACCGGCCGGGAGGCCAAAGGAAAAATACACTTCAAAGCCTTGCTGAGGCGTCCTATAAGGGCTACGATTCCAAGAAATTAAAAAAACAAACATATAAGGACAAATGATAAATATTAATATCCTCCATGGAAAATTCAATGGACATTGCTCCGGAAATTTAGACGACATTACTGGGCACTGTCCGGGTAAACAGGTTAAACTGAATATGCAAAGGGAAACACGCCTCGACAAATTTAAAGTTTTAATTTTCGTAAAATAGAATTCCAGTGAGAGAAAAGTAGGGCATTCCAGTTGAATTGTTTGAAACCGGTCACCTCATCATCTGGAACACAAACAACACAGGGAGCTCACCGCGAGGAAGAATTCGGTGGGGACCTCGTAATGTTGTTCATTAGCCTTGTCTGTTTCTATGGCAATCGCTGACTTCCGGAGACGCTCAATGAACCGTTTCTTGAAAAACATTTGACGTTCAACATCGCCACCACACTCAAGCTTCTGAATCCAGGCGCCAAGGCTCCCTCGAACACCTGGTCGTGACGGTGGTGTTAGCATTAATATCGAAAAAAACACGGGGCCTGACTCTCTAATACAGGAGGGGGTTGGTAAAACATGAGGCAAAATAGCTTTCACGGTACTTTTGGGAACACTATTTTAAAATGTTCACCGCCCTCTCTGAATAAAATAATGGACGCCCCCAAGAAACATTTAAATACTTCTGCGAAAAAAGTATTTCTGTATTTAGAAAATAAATACTGTCACGGAAATTAAGGAATTAAAAGAATGCATCAACGTGTGTTGGGGTATAGGATATATTTTTCACACAGGTTTTTGAGAGTTTTCTTTTTAAAAAATCAATAACAGAATAAGATATTTTCTTTTACAGATTCTAAATTCTACCATTCTAAACCTTTTCCTCCAGTGGTCCGATATCATGGTTATATTTCATTTCTTCAAATGAAACGTAAACAGTGTTTAACCGTGCAAAGTAACATAAAATCATTTCAAGGGACGTAACTCGTATGGTGCCAGAAACGCACCACATTCACAAAGCCATTCGTCACCACTCGCCCCTTTCCGTAACCTGCAAGAAGACTTGTCCCACTCATTCGTGACCAACTCGTGTTATTTCTTGCAGGTTACGGAAAGGGGCGATTGGTGACGAATGTTGTCCCACTGTCGTAGTCTGTCTTACAGACCCTGATACAAATATATATCAAATACAGCCCATGCAAGTCTATTATGTTTGGCAAGTCTAGATCACTGCAGTATCTGAAAATGAAGAGAGTCACTGGGCTCCTTTTTATTATATTTTTATTAAGATAACTGAACAACTGGTTTTTTTATGTACGATATGTTCATTTCAGAGACTAGATTTTAGTCTACCACTGTCGATGAATGTTATGTGCGAAAAAACGACAAACCAATCAGACTGCGTGTATGACTTTAAGTACTTCGGTCATAGAATCCCTCTGGAATACTTTTTCTTACTTTACAAATGTCTTGCATCTAAAAATATATTCAACATACAGTTGAATGTGTTCAATCATACTGTATAATACCGCAACGAGTTGACAATGCCCGTTTGCGCTTAGACGGAACCCAGTCGCAAACAATGACCGCGAGAGGGCACGAGTCGCTCTTCGGCTTTTCCCGGAATAACACGAGTTGGTCACGAATGCAACAAAGCTTACGAAACTGGAACATGTTGTATAATCCATGTTGTGCCGTGGTATAGATACACGATGCAGGTATTTCGCCTTTGAGTTGTATCATTATCATTAGATCATAATCAGTACATGAAATGGTCGTGTGAATTTAAGTTATATATACAGGTTCACAACGTGCAACGGACGACCGCTCTACCTCTGAACTGAACAAGCCCCAGTCAGCACACCCTGACACAAACATCAGCAAAATGTTTACGCGCCGCCCTTCTAGTTCTGCGCCATGTGTTTGTGATCTTACCGTCTCGCAAAACATCATCACTGGCCATTCTGCACGCTCGGCAACCACCTCCTCAGCGGGGTCGGAGTCTACCGCGACCTGGTACAAAAGTCACTTCTAAATGGAGTTACCTCCCATTAAGATAAACCCTTGCACCACGACATTGTTGCATGGGAAGTTGCGAAGAGCTATTATTTGCGATAAATACTACCTACCCCTGAGTAAGCGCCTATATGAGTTTATTTTCTGAGGGAAACTCTGTAAGACAATTGTGTATGTTTAGGGGCAGACGTAGACTAACGTCTAGTCTCTGAAATGAACATTTCTTACAGAAAAAATTGTTAAGTTATCTTAGTAAAAATATAACAAATAGGAGCCCAGATACTCTCTTCATTTTGATACTGCAGTAATCTTGACTTGAAAAACATTATAGACTTGCATAGGCTATATTGGATATATTTGTATCAGGGTCTGTATGACAGACTAGGGCAGACGTCTGTCAAATTGGGTGTAAAGGGAGCTTGCTAGCCTTGCTCCAAGGCTGTACTGAATGATAAGTCCATGGGCGTATAGTAATTCTATCCTTATAATAGGCAAGTCTCTTATAGGGACACCTCGTCCTCGTCATATTATGATCCTGAAATTAAGATTTAATCTAATAATGTTTGCCTCAGAGACTTATGCAAGATCTAGACAAGGAACTTGGTTGCGAGTGTTGGAATAGGTCGTCAGCAACCTATGCCTGTCTACGAGGCACAGTGACTTTGTCCATTGCGTGTTATCGTACTGGATCGTACTAAGATCGTTACTCATAATATCAATCACTGGATTGTCTGGTCCAAACCCGATCAGTTACAGCCAGCCATCGCGTAGCTGGAATATTGTTGAGTGTGGAGTTAAACAACAAACAAATTAAAGGGACTAAGTCCCCTGCCAATAATTTTTCAATAATCGTCCAAAGTAACATTTACTTTCACTTTGTTGTGCATGGACGGATCAAAAGGTCAGGGTCCGTCTGTAAATTTGCATCCAAAATATTAATAATATTGCAACATCTTTATTTGGTTAACTCATCTCATCTTAACGGGGGGCACGGGTGGCCCAGTCGTCTTAGGCGCCGCGATTCGCTGTGCAGAGTTGCGTCCCTTTGGCACGCCAGAAACCTATGATTGTGGGTTCGAATCCTGGTTCGCCCCGATTATGTTTCTAGGTTTGTCAGCACCATACCCGTGCTCGTGGGTTTCACTGAAGTGGTAAACGTCTGGAATCTGCATCACTTCGGGCTTTCCTCCCACATTAAGCTGACACGCCGTGATATAACTGGAATACTGTTAAAAGCGGCGTTAAACTCAACTCACTCACTAATCTTCCCGAGGCAAGGGAGTTAACTGAATATGAAAGCAAACTGGTGGTGTGGTATGGTTAGTACCAGTACCTCGGGAAGATGAACTCATCTATTCCTCGATTGGTTCATGGTCTAATATCTGTAAATATCTTGGAGTGACCCTCTGTCTATTAAGGGACACACAGCTACTTTTATGTAAATGTTTCAAAATGTGTATATAGCTTTTCATACAAGGTACGTTATATGCATAAAGATATATAAAGTTAGCAGTAAAAACGTCGAAGTGAAAACCATGTCGTGTAGCACAGATGGTGTATCAACGGCATACACTAGAAGAGCTATTATATAGGATATGGTGTCACGCGTTGACATATTCGTCCTTTGTAATTTAGGATTGTTGGCCGCACAACATGTCACGAGTTTGAGAATCTGTATTGATTAAATAATTAAAACTGTCCATCATGCAGATGTCAGACGATAGATGCGACTTGATATTGTAAGTTGTAGCAGGATCACGAGGGGTACATGGGGTTTATGCATCCCGCGTTAGGTTTTATACCACGAACCGGAGGCTCGGTATTAAGGGAATAAAAGAAGGACTGATCCCCCTGGCGTCAGTATACTGTACATGTGACTGCTGACTGGGGTATCCATGTTAAACTACGGCATGCTGGGCTAGCACTATAAAACCGGTATTAGCTCTCTCTCTCTCTCTCTCTCTCTCTCTCTCTCTCTCTCTCTCACACACACACACACACACTCACTCACTCTCTCTCACACACACACACTCACTCACTCACTCACTCTCTCTCTCACACTCACTCACTCACTCACTCACTCACTCACTCTCACACACACACACACACACACTCACTCTCTCTCTCTCTCACACACACACACACTCACTCACTCTCTCTCTCTCTCTCACACACACACACACACACACACACACACACACACACACACACACACACACACACACACATCTTTCCTGCCAACACGTATGTAATACTTCTTAATGTAAATGAATTCAAGTAAATATATTGAGGCGAGGGTTTTCAGATGTAACTTTAAATAAAAAATACCCCTCCCTTTTTCACTCTGTGGGTGGTAACGTAGGCATGGGATTGACATATACTTAGGAATTGACTTCAATATCTTTTGCGTTTAAATATATTGAAATACACAGGAATATATTGAAGTCAATTCAGTGATCACGAAAACAACGAAACGCATTCAGTGACATCGTTCAGCGCAATGATGCAACACAAGCCCCGCCCACTCTGTTATAAACCAATCAGGAACCTGTAGTCCGGTAATGGGCGCCGCTTAATTCTTTTCGTGTTATGGAAACAAATATGCTTTGTTAGCCAACCAAATGCCATGGAATAATATGGAATTTACTGCAATCTATTACAGAGTGGCCTTGACGGGGTTCAGCTGTGTTGCACCCTGTGCCTTTGCACTCAACAAAGGGGACTGTGTGTCACTATTTATGTTAATGTTTAGCTCACCTTACCCAAAGGTAGTGTGTCATGGACTCTGATTCGTGTTTATATCGACATCGTGAAATTAGTGTTGTCTTCTCATGTAATATAGGGATCGGGTGGTCAGATGACTTGGGTGATTGCGTGTCATCGTACCCCGATCACCAGTACCCATGAGATAAGCGAAATGCTCCTGTAATTTGGAGACAACACTTCTAGGTGTGTCATTTTATCTGTAAATAGATATCTCCAGTGAACATTCAACGAAATTTCCTTTCAAATTAAACCGTCCAATGTAAAGAGTTTTCAGGAAAGACGGACGCCTTTACTGTGCCTTTTAGTTGTTTTTTGCCCAAAATATATTGCCACCAGAAGTCGAATATTCAAGAACCATAACATTGTTTCTCCTTTTGATAATAGACTGGAGGTATAACCGAGGAAATCGAAGATGCCTCACAAGCCGAAAACACGTAGACTTTAAGTATTTATTTACATTTTACACAAAGAATTTTTTTTCCCCGAAGGACACTGCTTCCAAATCTACTCAAACATATAACGTCACGATGACATGCGGTGCTATGACTTCAATGACTTGCCGTAAAAAGGTGACTATGCTTGTCGTAAGAGGCAACAAACGGGATCGGGTGGTCAGGCTCGCTGACTTGGTTGATGCATGTCATCGATCCCAATTGCGTGGATCGATGCTCATGATATTAATCACTGGATTGTCTGGCCCAGACTCGATTATTTACAGACCGCCGTCATATAGCTGGAATATTTCTGAGTGCGGCGTTAAACAACAAACAAACAAGCAAACAAACTTCAATGATAACTAAACCGCCTGGTTCGTAGAATGCAGAGGGTTTCTGTTTAATTTTAATCAAACTGAATATTTATTACGATATTCACGTAGCCATGTCAAATATTATACATTTTATGTGAAGGATCTCGGACAAAATGCTCTGAAGAAAAGTATTAAGATGTCGGATATGATTCGGAAAAATCTCCTTTCTGACGATCACAGTACACAATCACATATTTTTCAAAGCGGTTTGATTGCCAGGTTAGCTATTGCGCAAACAGTCTGATTATTGTAATCACTCTGAGGCTAAGGCGCGTTGCCACATGTTTTATTATCATTATATCTTAAGATCTGTCACGCAACACATTCAAATTGAGACATATCTATTCGGGAGAGCTTTTAATCCTACTAAATCTCAACACTCAAGCTGGTATATTTCCTATCGACTCGACCTCAACGTGCGCAAGGTTATCGGGGTCTCCGTCAAATGAGTGCCCTCCCTTTGTTTTCAAATAACCCAGCCACTTGTGTGAAATATACACATGATTGACAGTTCCGATGACCCAAATATTAATGGCGCACCATTATGTAAACACTGGAAATATTCTATTCCAAAACCTTGCAGAGGAAAATCATTTTCATCACCAGGGTTGAACTCATTCTAATTGCAATGACCTTAGTTTGACCCTTCGCCAGTCGGTGGTACCAACATGTTTTGATGCTTAAACTTTCGGTGAAATAGTCAATTGATGTTAGTCATGACTTTGAATGGGCGTGTTATTTGCGAACTTGATTCATCACATATGTTGAAATAACACGTGTCAAATATGTCACATGTAGCTATAAATTCGGGGCCACTTGTGTCCACACGAATGATAGCAATTGTGGGAGCGTTTGTTATTCGGTCACTGTTAACATGTAACCAGCAAAAACCTATGGAGTCAAATCCGAACATAACAAATTCGGATGTAGCGAATAGACGATACATGTATTCAGGTGTTGTTCGACACAATATCTTTATTATTCGGGACCCACAATCGCAATGCGGTCTCAGCACTAAGACGGTCGCGGCTCCCAAAGTTTAACGCTGACTTGAAACCATTTTAGCGCTCTGGTCGTTTAGTACAAGTAGACCCACGTTATGGTTATGCGAGTCCCTTGAAGTGCGTTAGACCATTGATTTGACAATCATTAATTAATAGAAGTTGCCGGGCAAAGAATAGTTTACACATAAGTATACATATAGACGAAACAAACAATTGTGTGGTATGTTATATACGGGTATTATAGTTGTGTTTTGGACCTGGGCCCACTTGCACAAAGCGATCTTAGCGCTACGACTATTGTAAGCCTATGTTAAAGTATTGGAGTTAAGATCATCTTAGCGCTAAGATCGCTTTGTGCAAGTGGGCCCTGGTGTCTGCAGTTTTTCGTCGACTGTTTTCAGCCTGGTAATATGTTTTGATAACGTACTTTTTTGTGAAATCGTATTTTCAAATGTATACTTTCTTTTGTCCGGCACTATAAATTTTACTGCTC